CTCTCCCCTCTGACCTACACAGCCAGTCTAATAGAATCCATATCAGTACACTTTTAGAACTAATTAACAGTTTCAAAAACTTAATGCCAGGTCAAAGGGAAGAAGAAGGGACTAATAAGTGGACACAGAGATGGCATTATGCCATTTATCACGTCTAAAATGCATCTTTTTTTTCAGAAACAAGAAGACTAAAATAGAAAACACTCACTTCCCTTCTTTTCAAAATATCATTCTACAGAATCGTGATCTACAAACTGTACTTGCTTACATTTGGGTTTGCTCCTTCTAAGAAACAAGTTAGGACGAGTAGAGGAAGCTAGCTGAATTCCCCAGAGAGCTAATTCCTGCATGAAGAAGCCTTTCTATTTGACACATCTCAAAAGCAGATAATACAAATCCAAGATATTAATACTGAGGGTCAGATGCTAATCATAAATGAACCACACACTTTGCTTTTATCATAGAAGTACTGCAAGTGGCAGCAAACTGGAGTAACACAAAGGAGATTGGAATTTCACCTTGAAATACATGTCCTCACCTTGACCTGTGGAGCCACACAAAGTGACAATGGCACACCTCCCAGCTACTTATTTAAGCAGAGATGAGGCAGTGAAATGAATACATAAATACATTTCTAAGTTTTAGTTACTTTTCTCTTGAGTTTGCTTCTGCTGCTACTTTGTTTATTTTATTTGAAGTATGACAAGTCAGCCATTCTCATGCCCTCTCCCGAGCGAAAAGACAAACTTCTGGATGTTTCAATTTAAATGTATTTAACATCCTTCACTTCTCAATTCTGGAAAAACAGTTAAGTGCGAGGCTAAGCCGTAATTCTTTATGTTGAAGCCAGCCAAGCTTATCATTTTTGGAGGCAGCAGTTCCTACCTAAACACTCAGAGCTGTCTCTGAACACAAGGGCTCCATCTTTTCCTATGAGCTTCATGCTCCAGCAAAGCCTGGTAGATAGCTTGAAGTACAGCACTCTTGCAGTCAGACCAGAAATGCCTTTCTGCACCTGAAAGCTTGTCCAGTATTTATATGACCTATGGGAGCACAGTGCACAGACATTGAAGCAGAATGGAAACAAGACAGCTGATGAACCTACAGCACTGGGACTACATCAGCTTAAAAATTAACAAGCAAATTAATGCAAGCACAGACTCACTAATATGACTAGGAAGCTTTCAGGGTCTGAGCTACTCTCTGTCTCATGCTATCACATGTTGTGAAGACACACCACCTTAGTGTAAGCAACCTGGGATTTCACAACCTTGGGCAAGTCAGAAAAACGGTAAGATTAGACCTGATATTTATAAGCTCCAAACTTTCACTGAGTATTCTGCAAAGCTCAGATCGTAACCATAACAATATCTAAATATTAGATGGAAAAGGCTGCTGTCAGCTTGTTTCTCCAGAACATGATCCAAACGACTTTATTCTCACCTCCATGGAAAAGCCAGCAGGATGTAAAATTAACTGTGCTGAATCCAGGCACTTTGGCACTCATGAAGGAAACCTCATCAGCCAAACTGGGACAACCTGTCCCATAAAACCACATTTGTGGGATGCTGGTGGGGGCAGGCTGATTGGTAAAGAGAAGTCACAAGGTTTCTTGTAATTAATAGTATACACTGCCACACTACACCAAAATTAAAAATAAAAATCTTTACAAATTTAATTAACTCAGGATCTGCAAAAAGCACCCTGTTACTATAAAACAGAACACTGGGAGGTTAAAAACACTGCTCCTTCAGAGGAATTCACACTGCTTCAGTATATGAAAAGTAAAATTTTATAACATCTGGTTTTCCTTTCCACCCACTATGATATCATGTTTTCCAAGCACATTTGGCAGCTCACTGTAAAGATACAGGCAGACTAAACATGGAGGATAAAGTCAAATAAAAAGAACCTAAATAAATAAAATTCCAAAGCCCTGGATGCAGTAAGTGTTTCCTATTCCCCAAATTTCAGTTAGACAAGCAGTATACTAAGGGTTCCTCCCCCACCCTCCCCCTTTGGTAACTCCTGTATTCCTCAACCTTTACTCTTCCTTGAAGATATACTGTACATACCTCCTCTAGAGTTTTAGTTTAGTGTCTTTTTAAATAATTTTTCAAGTATTATGAGATATCCAATTTCTCTATATAGTGAGACTCAGTTAAAGGGAAAAATAACTGTTTAACAGGGTCAGATGTTGTGTGCACTTTTCTTTATCTCATTCATGAAGATGAAACCTTATTATTATCATTGCCATATTACTGACTGTGAGCAATAGTGAAGAGCAGCTATGATTTTAAATAACAACTCCCAATTAACTAATTTATCTCATTATTACCATGCTTTGATGCAGCACTTTCTATATCCTCCATTTCCCATGTTATTATTTTTAGCTGTGCACATACAAGATACAAATTAGTCAGCATTAATATTCACTAAGCTTAGAGGTATGCTGACATTTTAGTAATGCACAAGAAGGTAGCTGACTCATTTATGCTTGCCAGTGAATGACCAGCAAGCCTAGAAATGCAATCTCCATTTCTCAATCCTAATTTTTGTTTTGTAAAAAAAAAAAAGTTTGGAAATAGAAACAGACATCTTGGGAATCCTAACATGATTGAGTCTTTGGCTTATTATTTGATATAAATTGCTTTGAAATATGAAAGTAATTATTAAAGCATACAAAGGAGGGAAGGTATGCAATCGACAACAACAAAGAAAAGCTGACAAACTGATAGTCCCAGTGGTTATGCCTTGGTTAAAGCTTAATGACTGATCAATAAAACTATAACTTCCACACTGATGTAACTGGAATAGTTTATACATATATATATATATTTATCTTGATTTATCAGTTAAGACTTTTTATAAGAGCAAATGTAATAAAAATAGCACTATACAGGATCTTCTCATGTTTGTTGTAGCAAATCTCTAAATCCCTACCGCAATTATTTTACAGCTCAGTTCTCCCATCACATCAAGTGAAGAAAAGCAAGCAAAAAGCAAAACCTTATTAGCTAAGAAGCGGCTATTACAACATCATGATTTCCACACTATAAAATCAGACTACCATTTTAAAGGCTATCATTATACATTTCTCTGGCCTTAGGGTAGCAAGAGACAAACAGATGAAGTTCAGGTAAAGGCAGCCCCGAGCAACTCATTTAGCTGTGCTGCATCTCAGTTTTTCAACCTGAAAATGAAAGCAGTACGTGCCTGATTTGTAAGGAGAACACAGACCACCTTGGAACATTCAAGCAACAGGTTCTGTAATCACACAAAGAAGTTATCTGTATGCAACTATTCTTTGGTTGATAATTAAATTATCCAGTTTTGGTTCTCTTACAGAACACTCACACAGAGGAAACGTACTTATAAATAATCCACTTGCAAAAGATGACAATTTTATCACAGAACACTGGCACATTTTCATGAATCCAATCATTTTATTCAATTCTGAAACAGCACTCCAGAAGCTTAAGACACCTCTTAAAACTGCTGTTCCATGCTGTTTCAAGCAAACAAGGAACTTCAGACCTAGGCACTATCATGGTGTGAAGAACTTCTTGCTGATTCCTAACAGCCTTTATCGGATTTCCATGGAAATAAAGCCTGTGCACTGCCTGAAGATAGAAGTTATAAGCTAACAGAGCAGACTCTCATCAAGATAAAAAGAATCTGCCTGAGGAGGCAACACAAATGTATCCCACCGACCCCTCAATCTATGATCTTCTACCTACTCCTGCACATAATCACTACCAAAGCAGTATGCTGCATTCACCTATCTTAATGAGCCTAGTACGTTAAATTAAGCTCACTGTCTAAGACCCATCCAGCCTGATCAGTATCATTTTCACAGAAAAATAAGAATTACTTAGGAATCAAAATTGAAACCATGGAGAGTAAGAAGAGTTGAACCACTTCTCATGGGAAACAGCTTTGCCAGGCTACTATTAATTCTGTAGAGCTCGCTGTCCTTCCTTAAACCTGTGGGAATACAGCAACTCACACCCCATTTCATCACTATAATGCCAGGAAACACCCAGAGTGACAAAAGCAGGAATAGGGAGTTGGACAGTGCTGGCAGGGACAGAAGTAGACTGTTTAGAGCTGAACACCCAGCCCCAACACTGCCAAGGCACTGTTCCAAATCTGCAGTTAAAAACAAGAAAGATATCTAGAGAAAGAAAGATTTTGCTGATGGTGGAAAACATTTGATTCAGCTAACCCAAAGCAACTCTGTTCTTATTGTTCACAAGAAGGAGCAGAAACAGCTCAGAAAAAGCAAACAAACTTCAGAAATAGATTTTAAAATCCAATAATCAAGCTGGTCTGTGAATTTTGCCACAAAGGAAAGGCAGCCTCTAGGCTGCATTACAGAACAGTGTAAAGCAATAGTCAAGTCTGCATCTGGATTGGGCAGGAATGGAAGCTTTGAAATTTTTCAATCACATGAAGAAGTATTCTCTTTCAACACTAGCTGCAAACTGCAAAGGAAGTTTCCTTCTGTTACTGAACATCACATACCAGCTCTTGCAGAGCTGAACTTTCAGCTCTATGGACTGTCCAGTCATCCTGACATGGCACTTTCCTCTAAGGCTTTGTCAGGAAAACATTAAATATGATTTGGTACGTGAATTTATGTAGCACCTCATGGTTGTAAAAGTAAAAATCAACTGATGTTGGATGGCTTTAAAATTAAAAAAAAGCCTTCTAGAAAGTTAATGCTGATGCATAATCAATACAGTGCGAAGGCACATTCATATTTTGGATCAATGCAAACTTTCTCCATCTACTGGCTTAGCAAAATTCACCAGTAAGTCTACTAACTCATATATGCACGTTATCAGAATTCTTTCAAATGTCAATATTTCATTAAAAATAAATATTTTTTTCAAGAACTGACAACACTCCAAAAAGACACGGCACCAAACCTCAGTTTTTAATAGCTAGGTTTTCACTCTTCCCACACAGGCCCAGTACAAGAACTTCTTTCTTACCACTTCCCCAAAAGAGGCAGCCACCATGTGTGTTACTGGAGTCAAGTATGATGTAGAGTCACGGTGCAGCACAGATTTCACATTCTCATAGGTGATAAAAAATGCAGCAGCTGAAATGTAAACATACTTGAAGTCATTTAAGTGTTCCTGCATTCCTTCATTACAGAACTAGCACAAAAACATTTAGAGGTTAATTTTGTCACCTATTATTCCAAAAACACTTCTGAAAACAGGGTATTTACTGGCCCAAAACAGTATCAATACATAAAAGCAATCTGTAGGGAAATTCCTTCAGAAGTTTATGCCCCCAGTTATGACTGGCAAACCTCCTTTGATGTCAAAGGCACCTACTGATATAAGTAGTACCAGAGCTTCAGGCAGTACTTAGAATTAAGATAAGGAAAAGTGCTTTAATTAGTCATGACTGTCCAGCAGGTTTTGATAGGTCATATCTTCCATATTTTCCCACATAGATGGGAAGGGCAGGAAGGAGACTGTTCAGTCCTGGTTGAATTGGATGGGTGACCTTTAAAAAACAAAAAAACCAAAGTACTTGATACAAGCATCTGCTATCTCACAAAACAGTTTCAGTGGCAGTTTTCAGTAATTATTTCCTAGCTATGATCAGATTAATATTTTCTATCTTAGCTCCAGAAATAAATTCTTCAAAGCTTCTAAAGGACTCACAGAATTCCTGTCCAGTGGACAAGAAACGTAAAAAACTAAACTGAGCACAGAAACAAACAGTGTTTATTCACAGCAGCAGTCAACTGCAGATACTTGTACCCTAAGGGTTACTCCTCCTAAAGACAATTTTGGTTTTCAGTCATATGCTGGAAAGATAAAACCACAGTTCAGATTTTGAAGATGTAAATCCTGAAAAAACTGACATGTCTTGCGGGGGAACAGATTTTAATTGTAAAGAAGGACTACGTGAATTGCCTTCTGCTAATCAAAAGATGCTTATCACCTCAAAAGAAGATAACAGAGCAGACAAGATAAAGAACTGAATTTTTTATATCATCTTATGAAGGACATCAAACATCTGAAGGTGTAAAGGGATTTGTCAGCAAAGTTCTCCTAACATTTACTACTAACAGCATAACTTAGTGGTTTTTCTTCCTTCACTACAAAGACAAAATGGACAAAGGCATTATGAATTTTAGATGCTTTTTCTCTGCAGGGACAAACATTTACTTTTTTAAAGTTTCAGTTTCAAAAGTATTCCTGGTACCTTCTGATTTTAAGTGATATTGAGCTGTTTCTCAGGGAGAAAAAAAGATATGCATAGCATTCCTGGGACATTTAGTTTAAAGGCCTCCAGTGCTCAAGCACTTCACAATTTATTCAGATGAATTCTGATACATTTCCCATGCTGTCATGACAAAAGCATGCAGGGCAAGCACAGCTCATGTCCTGGCACCTCAAAATGCCCTGATTAAGTAGGAAGCAGCACATAAGACAAATACTGCTTTCCCACATGCAAAATTCAGAGCTCATTTAAGATATGTCTAAAGCACTGGGGTATACTAATCAGTCACGTATGTAATACTCTCACTACACTGAGGTTTACAATAGTAGGATTGATGCAGATACTTACCACAATAGAAAACACACATGAGGAAAGGACCAAATTGAACCCACATGAGAGATGTATACTGCCTGTGACATAAGCAAGCTTCTTCAAATCCAGCTACAGACTCTAGATCCCACTCACTCCCTGTCAAGAGTCACTGACAGGGAACTATTCATGTCAAAGCTTCCAGAAAACTTAACTATAGTGTGAAGCCAAAGTGGATTAATTAAACCACAATGAAAGTCAAATATGAATTGCATCTTTGCAAGCATTCCTGTTTGGGCAAGTTCCATGCTGAAATACAGCACTAAGGCCAGAAGCACAACAGAGCTTTTCAGAGTGAGCGTGCAGCAGCCTTCCCCCTAGGCACGCTCAGAGAGTTTCTCAGTGTCATACAACTCTAAAGCCTGCTCTTCACAGCTGGATTTTGCCTCACAGAATCCCAATAGTCATCTGCAGGAGAGAAAGCCACAGACATGAATGTCCTATTCTATGTAAGTACCCACTTCGAGGAAGACAAAGCATAATCCAAACAAAATTTACCATTTGGAAAGGATCCTACAGCAGTGGAGGGAACGCCAGCATAGATGCCACGAAAGCCACCAGCTTTCCTAAATCCTTGGGGACTTTGCAGTCTGGTTTTTACAGTATCCAGAGGAAAAAGGATCAAGTCGACAAAGACACCAGCAATTCCACCAGCCTTCATCATAAAAATCAGAGAGTAAAGTACATTAATGTTCACAGGAGTTAAAGTACAGTGCTTATCTAAGCAACTGAGGAACACCAAAGCCAAGGTACTATTGAGTATATACTTTCCGAGATCAAATTATAAACTGAAAGTCTTACCCAGAGCCTGTAAGATTACTAGCTATAACAAGAGAAAGAAAGGTTACAGCATTTAACCACTTTGAGGTAATTTTGAAATAATCTCATTATGCTGAAAAGCACAAGCAACCAGTGCAACACTTATTTACCACACACAAAATCAAGACAGTAAGTGCCAGTTATCAAATTGCCACAGAACAAAATGACCAATGCCTCTAGGAAGCCATGTGATAAGATCACAGAAGGCAGAAGCAATTCTGCTTCCCCTGTAACCATCTCTGGAACGCACATCCACATTTCTTAGCAAATTTCATCATTTATAGCATTCCTGCTCACCAATTTCCTTTGCTGAACAAAGCATAAAGTAAAAAACTACTTTATTTTCTTCTGTTGACAAAAGCATACAGAAAAAGAAGAAAGAATATGTTTTCACACATGTTATTTCTCAAAGCAATTCTTAATACCAAACTGTAAAAGCAATTTCAAGTAAAGCTCAATCTTCCTTAGAGCCCAGCTCTCTAGTTGACTTTATTTATAAAAGAGATTCCACAGACTGTGACTGATTGGTAAAGAATTACTTTCCAAAAACAGGAGGAAGGGACTTGAATAAACTGAAGAACTCAATTAAAATAGTTTTTAAAAAGTAATAAATCACACTTACAGTAAGTGTTATTTATTCATCGTGATTCAGAACAGCAAACATAGTTTGCTGAAGTAGTGCATCACACAAGGAACAAGCACAGATTTTTAATTCTACCTGAAAACAAATCATTTTGAACTCTATTTTATTTCAGTGCCAACAGAGGACTCTGAGAAGTATCTACCAATGGAGTTCTAATCAATAAGTTAATTACTCTTCTAATCTACTTAGCTATTTTGCATGCATTGGTTTTTCTTCACTCTTTTTCATCAAAATCCTCATCTGCTCAAAACAGCATTGATCAGATTTAATCTGATTTCACCAAGCCACCTGCTAGAACATGAACCAAAAGCGACTAACTGCTTCTTCAGTTTCCCAACTTCTGTATGGCCAATGGCACTTAAATCCAGATCACAGAGCACCTGTGGCAGGATGCCAACACCTACAGCAAAATAGCAGTGACTTCAGTAAATAAAACAAGCAAGTTACACCTTCTCCCCTGCCTCGTAGCAACACTAGCACTGAGAAGAGTAGAACAGCATAGAAAACAAAAACAGAACAAGCAAACAAACAAACAAACAAAAAATCCACCCTTATGAGGAGATGAGTATCGCCATTAAAGCAAACTCCAGCAACATAAGATGAAACCAGGCCCTACGCGCGGCCTGCAGCGGCCTAGAGACACTGCAGAGGCGTCACCATGACAACAGACAGGCCCCGGCCCAGACACTCACCGCCAAGGCCGCCCAGGACTCCCGCGGCTCCATGCACGGATGGCAGCAGGACGTGGCAACGCAGCGTGGCACGGAGAGTCTATTTCCACCAGGGACAGGACGAAACTAAACCCTCTCTCCAGCCGACCTCATAGCACATATGGGCGCGGCCATGTTGTTGCCCCCGGGCCGTGGTCAGGTGGGCGTGTGTCGCCATTGCGCATGCGCCTGAATGCTGCGCATGCGCACAGTGGGAAGCGACGACGCAGCCCGTAGTGCTGTGCCCTTCTTGTCCTCTTGTAGCGTTGGGCTTGCAACTGCTGACGGCATCCTCGGGTTTTCCATGGAACTGTTCTGCAAATAACAGATCTGAGCAGTGTGCAGGGAAACAAATGAAGCCTCTATCCTGGGGTCATATCTGCCGCATGGCTTTGCTGGAGCCCCTTCCTGGGAGTTGTGTTAACATTCCCTGCAGGGAGGATGCTGGTCTTTGCTCCTATCCCATCAGAAAAGTGTCTGTGTTTTGCATGTGTATTTATGAGACATCCCCTCTCCACAAAGAACACTCAAATCCACAGTGGCTTTGACACAAAGTCTTCATGTAGTCCTTACCCAGCTGGAAGCCATGCTTGAAATTATGGAAAATACAATTCTAGGAGAAAGAAAAGGGGTAAATGCTAGAAAGCATTATACACACTGTGTGTAGAACTGGAATCACCTCCTGGTTTCATAGCAGGACCAGTGGACTTCTTTGACTGTAGTAGCACTCTTGTCTCTATTATGGCTGGTTGAGCACCTTTCTTCCAACACATGAATCCTAGGATGGGCTTTCGTGCCAATCTGAAGCAGTTTGCTATCCTAGGAGTTACTTCTTAACAACTTTGGTTCTGATTCTTTCGAGAAGCAGGAGCCACAGTTACTTATATCAGCTACAATGCAGAGAAGACTGGACTGAGCAATTATTAGAGTGACACCCAGCAGAGTGCCTGGCTTTCTGAAAGAACCCTGCTGTTCAGATAGAAGTAAAAATGATCTGAAATCTACTGCTTCCAGCTGAGTTTCTGGCTAAATAGCCAAGTAAACACAAAAGCTGAAAGTTCTTCAGTTTCCAAGTCTATGTCTGTCATTAAATTAGGTACTTCAGAATGATAGTCAGAGGGGAAAAAAAAGTAAATGAATCATAATTTTAGAGCTATTTCTATATAATCCATTGATGGCAGCACTTAAAACGAGACCTCATTCACCACGTGTCCAGGAGGTCTCTTGATGTAAAGGTGCTTGGGGTCATAGCAAGAATTTTTTCACATTGTTCATTGCAAAGCTTTCAAGTACTCTCAGTGATGGTCTCTTTTATTTATCTGAAGATCTGCTGCTGCATCAGTGTCAATGGTTTACAGACTGGTTCAGCCCGGCTCTGTGACGAGTGGAGGGATTTTGCAAAATCCGTGCCTCTGGAAAAAAAGGGAACAGGGGACACCAAAATAATTAAAAACAGCGGCAACGATCTGAGGAGAAACAAACTGATTTAATAAATGTAGTAAAGATAACACACCATAATACAATATAATTAGAATTGAAGCTAATAAATCAAATATAATGAGAGAGAGAATGTCCGAAAGGTGGATAGGCCTCACCATAACACCGAGGTGAGATGCGCAGTCCAGTTGAGCAGCAGGGAGACAGGAGGAGAGCCAACGAAGAAGAGCGGACAAAGAAGTGCGATCAGGTGACCTTGCCAGATGCTATATCTCCTTTCTGTGACCGCAGAGTCCCCTGGGGAATGGAGTTCTCTTCTGGGCAGGTACCCAGAACTTGAGCATTAACAGTCAAACTCCCAGTGCCCTACATGATGTTATGATGTGGAATACTGAAAACCAAAAATCACAAAGCCATGACAATCAGAGAGGCCACAACCTCCTGTTCTTCCAAATCACCATCCTTTCTTAAATGAACAAGTTCTGCTTAATGCTGCAGGCCAAACATTAATCTTTCTGCAAAAGTCTTTAAGTGGACTCCCCCTGAGCTTGTGGAGTAAGTTGAATGGAGAAAGAAACCTGTTCTCTCAAATCCTTTCTTCCTTGTGAGAAAACACCATGGATACTGCGTAGCACGTCTACTGCAAACAGAAAAGATGGGCTGAGTATAGGGAATGCATATCTGCACTGGACAGCAGACGTTACATACCCTGCTGTTGTAGGTCCTGCTTCCTGTTATGGCACATAAGATTTAAGTTTTTCAGTCAGTTCACCCACATGACTTTCAATCACTGAATAATTTCACGTACTTTCTTCCTGCCTCTAGGATTTCTTTTATTCCTCTCCCCTTTTGCATTCTGTCCTTAGTTAAACACTGCAGCCCAGAAGCCTCCACTTGCACAGCCCCTTTTTTATCTCCATTTTTATCCCTTACTCCCCACTTTCTCTGGCTTTCTCATCCTGTGGTTGCATGCTGGTGAAAGTGCTTTTAAAAATGACCATTATGCCTACAGCACCTCACCTGCTTCCCTCAACCTTTGCAGCATGTAAAAGCTTTGGTTAGAGATGAAAAGCCGTGTAATCACAGCATGATAAAGAACATACTGCAACTATGGGTGCTCTGAGTCAAATATGAGTTGCTGACACTACAGCTTATACTAAGTAAAACAGATCATAGGGAATGAGTATAAGGCACTGCTATGTCCTCTTTTTATGAGCTACCCAAGCACTACTTTGAATCAGTTTCACATTATTAATCCTCCCACTGGTGGGTATTTCTATTTGAAAAGGTATCTATGTATGTGTATGTGTATATATTCTTTTCTCTGTATTTCCTCCTCTGTTTCTAGCTGCTATAGGAAGTCTGACACTAGCAGAAAAAGATTTATCGATTTGGTCAGAACATATTAAGGCTGCTGAAGACCAGATGTTAAAAACAGACTTTTTGGCATATATCAGCCTCTGGCGATATCAGTCACACACGTGTTCCAGTTTATTTATTAAAGTAATTGCTCTCCTCATTCTGTTCATTATCCTTCTCTTGGGCAATTCAGGCACGGCCAAGCTGATCTCTTCCAGTCATCCCCCCTTTGGACCATTGGATTTGTTTCAGTTCAGACAACACCCTGCAACTCTTCCTTCCTGAGGAACTGGGCCTATCCCACCGTTGTGAAAAGCAGATGGAAATTTATCTGCTGCAAAAAAATATCCTGTCACTTAGTAAAAATAAGGACTCATAGATCCCTCTAATTTGATACCAAGCAGGTACATAATTGGGCCAGGAAGGCCATCTGGAGGGGGATTTCAAAGATGTGCCCACATATGATACCGGAGGGGCTGCAGTGCACTACAGGAACACAGAATGTTAATTCAGATTCAGTGCAGTAAAATCTCAGAGGCAACCTAAGACCAAATGTCCAAGTACAAGGAAGCATGCCCAGTGCATACCCCACAACCAGTTCTTGCCTCCAGCTGCCACACCTGTGTCCCATAGCCCCGCTGCATGCTCAGTCACTGTGCTACAGACATCAGCTCACTTCCTTGTCTGTTGCACTGGCTTCTGGATGTGTTTCCTTCAGAAAAACGAAAATGAATTCAATAATATGCTAACATCTCACCAGCAGCAGACAGCTGGACCTGGATGGGCAGCATTTTTTCCAGACTCTCCCCATTTTATCAGTCTCCCTTTTACTGCCTTGATCCTCTTGCAACATTCAGGGAAGACTGTTTTAATGTGTATTTTAGAACCTTTTTTTTTTTTTTGCTCCTTCCATGCCGTAAGCTTCCCTTTACACTTACAGTAGCATTCTTAAGAAATCTGGCTGGCTGGTTTTAGAAGTTTTGCTGAAATACTAATTGCAGAAAAATTTTATGGAAACAGATGGGGAAACCAGACAGACAGAGATTTAACAACTTCTGTGAGTACTTAGCAGCAGAAATGTTAGTCCCCAAATTCATTAAGATAAAAGTGATTAATGAAGTTGTAGATTTTGCATAATGATAGAAAGACTTAAATTGTACAGCTTTCTGATGATCCTCATTTATTCCGCCTTATTGGCTGCCTGGACAATGAGTGGGTTGGGAAAGACACAAAATGTCCTTTTTAACTGCTGGGTTAAGTAAGTGAAATAACAATCCAGTGGCAATGTAGTGACCTTTCCAAGCAAGAGCATCTTCCAGATACTTTGCAGTTTTCCTTACAGTGTAGCTGAATTATTTTAATATTTCCATTTAGCACGTAAGAGAAATGGAGGAAAATCTTAATTATGCTTGCATTTGTGGTTATAGTCCAAAGATTTGACAACTAAAATCACTCACATCTGTTCTCAGCTCGTTTTGTGGGCTGATGCGATTACTTAGATGACTCAGGAAGCAGAGTTAAGAAGAAGTTTGCACAGGATGGCCCTAAACTACCTGGACAGTTGTGCAGTACCAAACTGTCTCAGATGAACATCTCTGACATTCCCCAGTAGTGGCTGGAACAAGGACACCAGCATCCTTCAGCAACCAAATTGCTTGAATCATTTCTCTGGTGATCTAGTGCCTTCCTCTATTTTAGAGGATTAACAGACCTGGTCTTTGCCAGATGCTGCAGGTAGGATGAATGAAACTCAGGGTGAGCTGTATTCTCCTAGGAGAAGGGCACAACATTGTTTCTAGACCCTCTGTCCCTCTATTTCCTACCTGTATGGACCAACAGGAGACAAAGCCCTCCTGGTAGAGACCCAGCTTCCTGCTGGGCAATTTTGCTGGGCCTTTCTAAAGAATGACTAATTGAATTTCCTTGAATTTCATGTTGGTTTTTGACCCTGCCCTGCTCCCCAGTGAAGAACAAGCCTGCCTGCTCCCTTCCTGGTACCAACAGATCCAGTGTCCCAAAACTACCACCCAGCACTGCCCAAGGAGAATTGTGTGGCTCTGGCACAGGGGTGACCCTCACCTCCACTCAATTCCATCAGCCTGCTGGCAGAAATAAATTGCAATCATTTCTGTACGGACAAGGAGCAATATTTTAGAAAATTAGTTCATTGCCAGCTGTTTGCTCAGCTCTGAGGTTTTATCAGCTAAATTCATTCTCTGGCTCCCACGGTGCATGGCTGATGGGAAGTGCTCAAAATGACATATAGAACAGACACCGCAGCCGAAATGATGCACCTATGGGGAGATGCTGCTGAAGAAGGGAGCTTAAGGGTTTATTTGAACGGCTGAATTTCAGCATGTAAACTGGAGCTATTTTTTAAATGTAAACTATAAAAATAATGACATTTGCTTTAAAAAGCTTGTGCTGTATTCTTGGTGCTGTGTACCTGATATAATTCATTCTTAGTATCCTGTAATTCAAGGAAAAGTCTCTCTTAGTCTGTTGTGGCCACTCAGATAAGGACAAAGAAACCACAGTACCACACACAGAGGACGGTTGTCCATGCACCACAAGTTTCTACACATCAGAAATCCCAACTACACAACAGTGATATTAAAAGGAGATAAAACAGGATGTTGAGAGTCTCGGTAGTGCCTGAACATTTTCAGGTTAATAAATCTTGTTGACTGCAGAGATTTCTTGTTGCCTTCTTGGGCAATATCCTTAGAAGCATTTCTGCAGGCACATGTAGCCCTGGACTATTGCTGCAACAGGCATTGAGCCCAACAACTGAGCTTTTGCCCAGCAGTCAGGACATGATTTTCCACTGAAAAAAAAATTGTCATTTTATTCTACAAGGACATGACATCCCTGGGCAGCCACCCTGCTGCTTTTCTGCACGAGGCTCCCACTGATTTCTCCCTCCACACAAATTTAATTCTTCACTGAGATACTTTAGCTTTTAGATCACATCTTTTGTTGGTTTGTTTTGTTTTTTTTTTTTACATTGTGCAGACCAGTCCTTTGGTGAGATGCAGTCAAAAGGTCCTTCCCAGGAACAAAGGAAGGAGACCAATGACAAGAAGTTCTTGTCCACCCTGCTGTGAATTTCCAGGGCCCTTTTCCTTTTCCTTCTGTTGTGCAGCA